ATATATACGCAGGCGTGTGTGTGTGTGTGTACACGTGTGTTTGTGTATGTGTGTGTGCGTGTGTGTGCGTATGTGTGTTTGTGTGTGTGTGCGTATGTGTGTTTGTGTGTGTGTGTGTGTGTGTGTCTGTCTGTGTATGTGTGTGTCTGTGTATACGCGAGAGAGAGAGAGAATTGGATTTTCCTGTCTGTATGTAAGTTAGCACGTAGCATAACTACACATGCATGCATAGACAAAGATATACACGCACTTATGTGTAAGCATGTGGCAAGCTAACCAATAAACAAACACTCGTGCTGTAAAATGTTCTATAAAAAGATTGCCCACATTACCTTTATACGCCTCCAAGGCTTCCTTGGCCCTACACAGGTCCTTGAGTTTGTGCTTGAGTGTCTTGTAACTCAAATACCTCGCACGCCATGGCGGATACACATGCGATTCCAAGTACTTTCCGAATCGCATCGTTATTTAAACTCGCGTATATGTTTAATCAGTCAAGTGTATGATGTTGATCTACTATGAAAGCATGGTGTTGTCCGTCAAGCGTAGGGTACACCGCACACCTTATAACACAACCAGCCACCGATCGCCCGAAGGAGTGTGGCTTAATGTATAGTGCGAGTGTGTATCAAATGATCTTTCATTGCGGTGCGCCAAGTACTGAGAAACCTGTTTTTCCGCACAATTTTTAGTAGTACAGCCGTACGGCCCATACGATCCAAGGACATATAAATATGGTCATATGTATACATGACACGCGCTCGTGTCCATGAACCACATCTACCAGTAGTTCAGTTACCAGTACATGATGAGTACAACTATTCCTTTACATACAATAGAGAGCGTGTCAACTATATTTATGTAATAAATACAATGTATGTTTACGTCCAATGACGTTGTAGCGTCGCCCCTCGTGCCTTCATATCACACTAGCGATGAACTGGCCTTGACTCTTTGTTGCTAAGAGCTTGGACTGTAGACACCGCTATTTAGTAGTGTCGGTCTGGCGCACTTTTGTTTTGCAGCAAATCTTGTCAAAGGTGGCGCAACGCTCCGATTGATGGGCTGTGTTTTTAAATGATCGTTTTTTACTAGGAGTCTTTTACCAGTAATATGTGTGCATACAAATGAACAACTTGGAATATATATTTTAAAATATACAACACAAATAGTTTAAAACACATCCTCAATTTGTAACATATTTAGTAGTCACTGATGTCGAATAGCGAGTGACTCGCATCAACGGTTTGTTTCACCTTGATATGTTCATCCAATCATATAAGGTTGTTTTAGCCTTTCTTTCTAGAAATTCGCTCCCATGGGCTAAACCTGAATCCGTTTTTAAAAGTGGTACATAAATACAAATTTTGGGTTGAACGTAAATATACACTGTTTTTATCTGATTTATTTTTAAAATCAAAACGAAACTTCTAAACGTCTGTATGTACTCTGCAGTCTGCACGGATCACCAGTCAATTGACTGGAAAATCTTCTCTACTCTTTTAACGAATTTAAAAACGGATATTTTGAGTTTTTGACTAATTTAGGGTATACTAAACCAGACAATATTTATTTTTATGTTATAGATATTTAGGGTTTAGGGTTTGGGATTTTAAATCCGATTCGAATTGGTTTTAAAATTATACACATTCGTTGAAACAGCGCTAGTGTACAAGTGCCGCCTTGCCATCTGCCAACTGCCACCCCAATACTGTTTAACGTAAACAGATATCTATAAATAGTATTAACGCAAATCACAAAACGTATTGAGTTCGCGTACACATGTAACATTCTGACTGCACAGGAGCTACACAGGAGAGTGGAGACTGGAGACTGACCACAGCACGGAGAGGACTGTCACTGACTCACTGTATTTGCTGTCGCGTGTCAATTTCGTATTAAAAATATAATCTCTAAATAATATGTATTGTACAGTACAAACTAAAATATTATTTTTTTAAATACAAACTGTGGACAAACACCGAGGAACGGGCTCGAGGTGTCAAATTTTTGAAGAGATCTAAATGATAAGCTTTTTTCTTGTCCTGTTGAACTTTTGAAGGATGAAGCTGAAGAGTGCATGTAGTTGGGTGTGGTTATGGGTAATATCAGGCAGCCCACTGTCACTGGCTGGTGGGCGTTAATCGCTGAAGGCGGCGACAATAGCTCGATATATGAATGTTTATTTATGTAATCGAATTTGTAACGCCGTGTGATGACTATGGCTTGTGTGTGGACGCGGCATATGTAAATGTGTACCTAGTATGTATGTAGAAGAAACGTGATATGACATTAGGATTATACTACACATACCACACATACATGGGTAGCGTATCGGTGCCAGAACTAAGTTATAACCGCTCGACCACCTATGGCAGTCACTGACATACCACCCCAGGATGCACAGATGAACAATAAGCATAGTAGTAATACGGAACACATCAACAACACTAGGCCTAACTACGTTTCATAGTACGTCAAACAAATACAAACTGCACGTTGAACATTTAGCACTATGAATGCCACTTGCCCAATTACAACCTCCGAAGAGATGCATGCGGACATCACCAGCGTCTGCTCGTCTCCGCTAAAGTTTTCATTCACACTCGCGCGATCCCTGCAAGCGGATCAGCAACTGACAGCTGCGCGACTGTTGTTCTTAAGAGCTGAGAGGAGGTTTCTGCAAGACCCCAGTGTGGATGCCGCAAGGGATGTGAACAGAGTGTACGTTAGCAAGGTATGCCAACACCCGCAGAATATTTGACATGAGGAGGTGAATTAATCGTTTTGCACTATAGGATATAATGAGGTATATATATATGAAGTGCATCATAGACTGTAGTCGAAACGTGCGAAAATGTATCCTCCCGGTGCTTGCGAATTTTTGTATAGGTGCGATGTTTCTCACAGAACCACTGACACACTCGCACAAAATATACT